GTTTTTTTTTAGATAAACCGTTCAAAAACCGCTCAAACCGCTCATTTTGAAGCAAGATTTTGAGCGTAATTTTCTAAAAAAACCGCTCAAACCGCTCAAATCTTGCTTCAAATTAGGTGAAAAATCTCGACTCGGGAGGCAGATAATTAGCTTTTTTGGTATTCCTCTAAGATTGAGTTACGTGTTCAGTCGGTTGAATTTGTTTCTCTTTTTACCTTCTTAAAAAAGAATATATGACTGTTCCGACCAAAAGTGGACTAGAAGAAACTATAGAAGAAAAATTTTCAAAGCTTTATTTTTTCGAAAATTGAAAAAGTATCTTTTCTAGAAATCTTTTTTTTTTTCAAACTTTTGCGTCCCTTAGCAATTTTCCAACTGTATGTTATTTATGTTTTTCAAAGCCGACTAGAAATTATGTCTAAGACTTCAGCAAATGATGTCTCAAAGTCCAGAACAGTTTTTGGCAGGCAAATATTTGGAAAATTTTGCGCGGGCTCCCCCCCCCCCCTCAAATTAGATATCTCAAAATAGAACAAAGGGGGACCCTTTGGGTCGACAGGGGATCGAATCCCTAAATCCATCCCCCCCCCACCCCATTACTGGATTGTCCTATTAAAGTCAGTTGGCCATCAAAAATGTTCACAGATTTTTGAGATAGTTGAGAAAGTTTTGATGTTATGTTAACCGGAAAATGTTTACCTAATTTCTTCAGATATTATTCATTTCATATTAATCTGTTTAAAATTGCCAATAATTTACAGATGTTGAATCATGTTTTTTAGACCCCTAGATATAATATCGACCCGAAGGATCTCGATCTGATATATAGTTTTTATCTCGACAGGATACGAGAGTGGATCACAAACATTTTTTCATGGATATCAACTCGGGAAAAAGACTGCAAAATGTGTTTCCGTTATTTCAGGAAATGGGAAGTTCGGCACCATCCTCAAAGCAGGTCAAACAGGTGCAGCCAATGAGGACACTCTCTCGTTCCAGGGGGGCCCAGTGGACATAGTGGCCATGAGGGAATTCTACGTAGAAGTGTCTCTCCTTTACCTCTTCTCAGAAGAAACTCTGAATGAGACTGAGATTGAAGTCAAATCGGAAGGTGAATTATTTCTTATGTATTTGTTTCCAAGAAGGGAAACATTAGATGTGTTTTTACAAAAATTGGGTCTTGCACCAAACGCGGCCCAAAATCGGTATTTTTACATCTTTCTTGAACTCAAAGTAATACGGTTGAATCTGATTGGCTAATCAGACACTCAAATTTAAACAACATGGTCCGGCATTTCTATTAAAATTTCAAGCCGATGAAATTGTTGCTGAAATTACCAAAATTAGAAAAAATTATTCTGCTGAAGCCATTTTACGAAATGTTTTTCGTCCGGGCCAAACTTCAGTTACTTGAAAAAAATTATTTTAGTTACAATTTCACATTGTGGTAATTTCGGCTAATATTTTAACTGCTGAAAGTTTTGATTGAATTGCCTGAACATGTTGCTTGTATTTGAACGGCTAATATTAGCCAATCAGTTTCGGCCGCATAAGTTTTAACTCTAGATATAAACATTGATTTTGGGCCGTTTTGTGCATAAGACATCAAAAACTACCCAAGCGAAACCCAATCTTGGAAGACACCAAGAAGGCTAGCTAGCTGCCTATCGCGTGGCTTAATGAAAACAGATCAGCAATGCTTGTCATGACATGTGTGTTTTTGTAGCGTGGATATAATTTTTATTTATATTGGCAGCTAGTTTACCAAAATTATTATACGTATTGCGCAATACTGTTTGACACGTATTTTCGAAAGATCAATCAGTATGGAAATGGAGTCTGCAACAGGTATGGAAAAAAGTTTTTCGAGAAATCCGAAACAAGGCTATTTTTTTTCAATCTTTCCCTATTGTGGAATAGAAAAACAAATGGTTAAAACAAGTGGTTGGTCAAGCAGCAAAATTTCCTGAATCCAGAACAAACTTTGCAGAATCCGGAACAAGTTGCGTAATTCATAAATACATCATGACACATTTAAGAAGTGGATTACTCTGCTGGTGATCCATACTTTGTAAGCCATATCTGGTATTTATAAAAATTGCAGAAAGTTGCGAAATCCAATAAAGAGTCAGGAATCTGCGGACAAAATCAAAGTCTGCCCGCAATAAATTTTTTATCAGTTTGTTGCGGATTCCACGACACGCTAAATATGCCGACAAATTTTACGCTACAGTTATTTTTCATAGATACCGCAACAAGTGTGTAAGTTTATTCCACATATAAATTTTATACGTTTGAGGGATTGTCGCCGGATTTTGAGGACACCCGCACCACACGTTGTGCCTTATGATTTTCTAGTTTGATCTCGTAATTATGATACAAGTGTATTATATAGCCTGATTGATACTGAAACGAGCAAAGCTCACACTTTGTTAAAAAATATGATGATTTTCGTAGAGGGGCATTTACACCCAATACTACCAAAAAAAACAACTGATGTTTTTTCCTGCAAAAAAAAATTAGCGATAAAATTACACTAAATTAGAACTTTGGCAAAATTTAACAAATATATTATCCTGATAACAAAAATATATAAAGGTCAAATGGACGAAGCAGGAGTGGATTTAGGGGGAAGGGGAGGGCGCTTCCCTCTCAGGGATTCGACCCCCTGCCCCCCCCCTTTGTATTATTTTGATATATCCATATTTAGTGATGGACCCTAAAATTTTTCTAAAGGCGCCCTCGGCGCCAATATATACTTAATTTGAGGGGGAGGGCGCGCGCCAAAAAAAACTCAATTTTTTTTCAAAATTTTCCAAAAAGTGCCCAAAACTTTTTATCAATACAGCGTCTTTTAGTGCTTTACGAGAGCTCGGAAAATCTATTTGGTCGACCTAAAAAAAGTCGTGAAAATCCGCCCCCCCCTCGAGAAAATCCTAGATCCGCCCCTGGGACGAAGTACAATTATCCCATCAGCCCATTGATGATCTATGTACAGAGATTTTTACAAAATTAGGATCGAATTAAGTCCACTGAGAAATTTTTCAAAAGTTTTTTGTTACAAATTCAATTTCAGAGAAAATCAAAGCTGAAACTGAGGTTAACATTAAAAAGCAGGCAATTGTAATATCCGGGTTGACCAAAACTTCTTATTATACAATTCCATACAATTGAATACGTACACTGATTTGTATGGAATCTCTATGATAAACATTTTTCCAGATATGAAAAATGTATGATGAAAAACCTATAATAAAACTTTTTGATATTTTTTCTAAATTTAATTTCTGAAAACTTTTGGGTTATATTTGTGGCAAGAATTTTTGGGGCAGTTTCAAAACTAATTGAAAAACTTTGATTGTCGCCATCAAAAAAAAGCTAGTCATGCAATTTCCTATTTAACAAAGAGTTTTTTTTATATGATACATCAATAGTTATTTCAAAACAAGAAAAATGGTCTTCGAAAATTAGAAAATTTGATGACACCATTTGAGCAAAATGTATAAGATTTCTATTATTATTTTTTTTTCATATAATTAGTTTATGGAATTGTATGATTAGCCTTTTTGGTCTATGGAAGCGTCGATCCGGGTATATATTGAAAAATCCTATTGAACTATTTTATATGATAAGAAACTAAACGTGAATGTTATTTGTCGGTGAAATTGCCGGTGAAAGAAGCTGAATTTAAATTTTTTTCTTAAATAGTTTTTCAATGTTTGGAAAGTTGCAATTTTTAGAATTGTTGTAAAAATTTCTGTTGAAAAATTGCTGTTTTCAAAGCTCCCAAACTGAATAATGACTTCGACGGCAATACCAACGCCATTTTATCATAGAGTTTTTTTGTGTCTTTTGTGCTTTCAACCAAACAATTTTCAATTTTCAAAGAAATGATTGCCTGTAAGTTTGTAGTTTAACCAGTCAGTTTTATTACCTGAGAGTTTTTTTTGTTCCTTACTTTTTTTTTTGCATTTAAGTTTCTCATGTTATTGCTGCTCCATAGACCTTGAAAAGCATTCGGAACATTCGGGGTTTCCTCTGATAAGAGCATTTATTGTTATTTTTATCAAATTTTAGTCTTGACTTGAGGTCTATATGGATACTTGGAAAATGTTGTGGAAAATGGTGAAAAATAATTGGTCTGAAACAATTTTACGCACACTAATTTACCGCTAATCTATTTGGATACACATAATTAGAGTTTTCAATTGTTGATTTAGTCTCAATTAAATATACCTGAGCCTGTTTTAATGCTTATTTCAAGGTTTTGGAAACTTCATTTTTCAAGGTTTTTATACAATTTATAGCAGAGCGGCGATCAAAATTATTCAAATTCAACCAAAACAGTTCTTCTAGAAACCGGCAAAATTGCTTGTATCAGGGCTGCTTTGATCAGCCGCTTGTATCAGTTTAGAATGTTCTGACTGCATTTTAAGGTCTATGGAGCAGTATTATCAATTGAGATTTTTCTTTGAGATTTCCAGTAAATTGGAACTTTTTTTTAATAAAAACCATCAAACCGTATGCCATATAAAGCACCAAGCGATATATTTTGCTCCTAGTAGTAAATTAATGATGGCAAGTATGGTTACTTCAACCAATTAGAGTGATTTCTAAGACGGATTAAATCTCCATTACGCGTTAACAGCGCGAATTATATCGCGCGCTAATTGTCCCAATTGGACCAAAACGACAATTTCTATAGCTTCACAAAAAGATCATAAAATATATTTTTAATTTTAAGCTCATGACAACAATACCTTATGATTACTATTTTTAAAAAATTCCATCAAAAATATCTAGTTAAAAAGTCGAATTTTGTCTGAAGAGAGAAAAATGCCCCGAGCATTCCGACATGCAAGTTACGAAAGCCGGAGCGACAGCAGAGATGACAGCACAAACAATTTCTGTAAAACTTTTCAAACCGAAAATTGACTGCTATTTTTTGAGGAATATGCATGTGTGTTACTTTTTCTCAGCTCCAATTTGAGCAGTGTATCGAATGAACTTGTAAAAATTTCTTTTCATTCTTCAAAATAGTTTATGACATCATCCTAGTGTGGAAGTTCATAGTTTTTCATCATCATAGTTGTGTGGAAGTTCATCATCATAGTTTTTCAAAAAGTATATACAGCACTTTGATAACCGAGCTTCTAAAAAAGTTTTGCTGATATAAAAATTTAACTCATTCACTTTTAATGAAAAAATTAAAAACATTTTAAGAAATTACTAAACTTGATAAAATCAGTTCGTGCTAACATTTTGCGGCACTAACATTAATCAGTTCCGGCTCTTTTATAATGGCTTTTTCGGATTTCGTTGGAAAATTATTTGAGGGTTGTTAAGATCCCGTATTTCCAGTAAACCTTTTATTCCTCGTCAATCCTCGCAAAACTAATTATCCATGAGTTCAGTTCTCCTGTTGAGCGCCTTTCGATGTTTTCGTCCTAGATTGTGAAAACTTCGTTTCTCTGAAGGGGCGCCGACACAGGCTCCCCCTATGCATTTTCTTTTTGCATGGTAACATTCAGTGCCACAATCTTTCGGATAGGACAGCTTGGAGCACTCTAAAGCTGAGAAAAGAATCAGAAACGAGACGGTCAACAAGTACAGAAAATGCATTTTGTGACTGAGACAATAACTAGTCCGAGAAACGTTTATTTTGAGAAGCAACTTGTGAAAAAATCAAACTATTTTTTTTTGAATTCATTAATTTGGCAGAAAAATTGTTTCATTTAAATTAGCGAAAATGGTACACAGGTTTCGATATCGGATTTGTGACTGAGAAAAAGTGTTTAAAGTCGGTTAGACACAATTTAACAGGCGAGTGATTAAGGAGCTGTAATTGATTTTCAAGCTGAATCCCCAATTGCGTTTAAAAAAACAACTGGTCCACATATAGAGAAGTCTCGCCCACTTAAGTGATTCTTGTCAACCAGTTATATTTTGATTAATCGAAAACCCAAGAAGCTATGGTTTACATAATAAGAGCTCGTCCTGTCATTTAGTCATTTCTCGGTTGAACATAAAAAAAATCTTAGTTTTTGATCCGTACCAAACACTAAGGCTAGTTGAAAATCACGCAAAATTCCAGATCTGGTAAATACACGGCAGATTTATGAGCCAATTGTGGGATATTGAGAAATTTTCTGTAATGACTATCTCAGATTTACATGATTTGACCTCAAAATGCAACATTACGAGGCCTAACTGTGCACTGGATAGGAGCACAATTTTGTGTTTGTATGTTCCTGGATTCCAGAGATAAGTCTTTAAACATGTTAAAATGTTGTCGGAACGATCAAAGAGAAGGAAAGAACAAAAGAAGAACTTGTTGCGGAATCCGCTTACAATGCTCAAAATGCACAGTTTGGCCTCGTAATGAAATTTTAATTGGGATTATAGATGTCGTTCTAACTTATGGGTAATTAGTGTTCCCGTTTTCGCAACGAAAGTTAGTGTGGCTCTTCGCTCACAGAGCTGGAACAGATCATTGATCCTTCCAACGGAATTTTTGTGTTGCTCGGGGTGGCATTTTTTTTCAGACAAGTTTCGACTTTTTAAATAGCCATTTTATCCAAAAATTTTTATATCATTCTTAAGTTATTGCCGTCCTAAGCTTGAAAAGTTGGAAAAATATTTCACCTGTGATCATTTTTCGTAAAATTGTAGGTGTTTAAAGATTGGCAATTTGCGACAATTAACGCCCGAGTTCTAAACGGGTAAGCGGAGATTTAATCTGTCTTAATTCGAGAAATCTTTCCAATTTGGTTGAAGGAAGCTTATTTGCCAGAATTGATTTGTTACTACGAGCAAGATGTCTCTTTTTTTTGTACTTTATGAGGCGTGTAGTGGGATGACTTTAACTAAAAAAATCTCAAATTTTAAAAAAAAAAATTTTGAATTTATTTTTTCTATAACCAATGTTTTCATGTTTTTACTGCTCCATAGACCTTAAAGCGCAGTTGGAACATTCATGGCTTCGCCTTGATACGAGCAGTGTGGTTTTGTTTGGATGCAAAATAAATTCATTCTTTTCGTCATAGTGAGAAAATTCGAGTCTTAGAATTTTCATACAATTTTTTTATAAACTTTTGGAGGGTATGGGAGTTTGGAGATGGAGTGCTCATCTAGATTTTGTTACTACGAGCGAAAACTATCTTTTCGTTTTTTATATGGCATGTTGGGGGGATGATTTTTACAAAAAATCTCAAAATTTGAAAAATATATTTTAATTAAATTTTTAAACTTCTACAATCAAATTTTTCATGTTATTACTGCTCATAGGTTTTAAAAGGCAGTCGAATCCTTCAAAGTTTTGCATCGATACGAGTATTTTTATTCTATTCGAATGAAAATACGAATTCATTTGAAAGAATGCTAAAAATTAAAGAAAAGGATTTTAACATTTAACAGAATGTATACTTAAGTGTAAGCATACAATTTAACTCAAAGAACAGAAAACGTGAACAGTTTTTGAGTTTGGAGATGAAGTGGATGTCTAGCAAGTTTTGTCAACCCGAGTCTTTCCAAAGATGATTTAAAATTATTCAATAAAAAGGTCAGTGTTTTTAGCGTTTCAAAATCGCAATAAAAATTAACGGTGATAATCTGTAAAGTTTTTCAGTTTTAATCTTTTCAGTTGCATCTTTTCTGCAAATAAAAACAACCAATATGTACCATCATGCTAATTTCGATCTTTTCGAATTTTTTATCTAAATTATATTCAGCTGAAGAAACTCAAAAACAAACATAAAACATTTGATTTTCCAATGTTGCCGTTGAACGGGCGTGGCAAGGAAAAACTGACTAGAGTTTGATTTTGTTGCTTCGCTAGTTTGACTACATCAAAGAAAACTGGTACGTGTTAAGCAAGGTTACAAAACGAAAGTATAAAAATCCAAGTTTGAATTTCAAAAAAAAACAAATAGTCATCTCTGGTTTGAAAAAAAAATTGATTTGATTTGAAAAAATTGATTTGGTTTGAAAAAAATTGATTGTCCCAAAGCTTTCAAATAACATTAGAGATTTTAATAATAGTTTATTTAGGAGAGTAATATTATACAGAAAGGTATACAATAAACATCATGTACAAATCAAACCCACCAAGGATCTCGCAAAAAGCTATGCAGCTTATCGAGGCATGACCCTGAAAAAACCTATGACAGAAGTTGCGAGATATTATCCGACTTGATGATTCGAAAAATTAAATCTAGTAGTTCTCCATCGTCTTTAAGAAACAATGAAAAAAACAATTTTTTGAAATACCCATTTAGTTGATGCTTAGTTAATTGGTTTAGGTTATCTGGTATCAGCTCGTTTGATTTCAAAAAATTATTACCTTAGAGACACATTTTCCCATAAACGCTGCATTATTTGTGTTCTGGTTTTCATGCTTGGTAAAGTTTTTGCCACAGAGGCCCGAGTAACCCGACGATTATTTAGAGATTTCAATTAGTGGAGTGGTTTGTATTGTTTTAAAAATTTTTGAAGTGATTTTTTTGACGACTACAACTCAATTAGCTGAAGATGTTAAAATTCTTTCTTGCAATATACCTACCGTCTTGTATATTTTAGGATTTAAAGGTCGAGCTCGTGACTCTCCTTTCCCGTTACATCTTTTCAGCAGCTAATTTTTACCCGGGATCCGGATTCTTCCAAATTTTTGGATGAAATTTGCGGGAATTATTGTTATGACTCAGTATTTCTCAAGGGTTTGTAAAGCTTACTGCTCGCTTTTTTCTGGCGATGTGTGGTATTCATTTGATTGCGTTTTTCTTTACGTGCCTCGACGGAAGATAACTTGTTGTTCTGACAATTTAAAATGGTTCAAACTTTGTATTCAGTAGAGTTTTTTTTCCACGCAAAGTTAGGTAACATCAATAATCATCGAGTGGTATATCAGATTAAGTCCCTTTCAAATGTGATTCGAACGAAATATTAAAAAATATCGAAAAAGGGTCTCAGTCTCAAGAAAAACCGGTAAAAAAAAACTGATTCTTTATCTAATTTGATTCGAATGATGATTTTTCATTTCTTTTCTTATAGGCTTATAAGATTAAAAAATAAGATTCAAAAACTAACTATTGCTTAGTTTTACTCACTTTAAATAAATAATAGAAAAAAACTTTTAGCGCCTTCAAGTACAAGAGAAAGAGCGCCTTCAGAAAAAGAATTTGAAAAGTTGTTCGCAAATTTTTTTGAATTTTTATTTTCATATTTATTTGATGTGGAAACCCGTTGTCAAATGTGCCTAAAATGTTTTTAGTATCAAAAACTTAAGGCCTTTAATTAGATTCGATCATCAAATCAAAAATAAAAACGTCGCAATTTGATTGTAATTTCTTAACGAAATAGTCGGAACATTCTGAGCTACTTGCACAGCAACCGGCTGTCCTTGTTATATATTTTCGAGGTTTGTTTGGCTGCCATGATCTGATGCACAAGACTCATTGCTTCGACACAGTTTAGCTCAAAAGAGTGGACTGAGTTTCAGAAAGTGAGTGCTGCGCTAATTGATCCTACGGCGAAGACAGTGGCAATTTGTAATCATCTAGGAGCTATTTTTTTCGAGCCGCCCGAGGAAAACTTCATCAAATCTGTAAAAATGCAAAAAAATAGTCTATAACTTGTCACGCATCATTCCTTAATGGTAATAGCAGCCATGAATCAGTCTATAATAAAATTTCCTAAATTGATTTTAAAACAGATGAAAGGTTAGGATTCGTTTTGTTTTCTCAATGAAGTATGTGATTGTTCCCACCATTGAAAATGGGGAGGAATTTTGTATTCAGGTATGTAGTAGTTTTTTCCCTCGCAAAATCAGGTACCACAAATAATCATCGAACTGGGTTGAGTGATATATCATATTAAAGCCCTTTCAGTCGTGATTCGAACGACAATGAAAAATTTAGATTTTTTTTTTCACATTGTCGAGAAAAACCGATTTTGATTTTCGGTCTAATTTTGAGCTAATGAGATGACCGTTTATACTAGTAATTTTCCTTCAAAAACTGTTTTCTAATTGAACTATTTTACTATGACTCTCAAATATGTCTAAATTCTATTTTTCGTTTGATTTTTTTATCACAACATGCAGAAAAAAACGACACCAACTTGTAAAAAAACTTTTTTTGTAATTTTATGAGACTCCTACTTGAAGTTTGTACTTTTTATGCTTAAAATTTTAAAAGACATGACGTAGAATTTCTTATGAAAATTTCAAGTTTTCCGCAAAATTATCTAGTTTTTGTTTTAAAATTTAAATGAAATGAAGTCATGACAAAAAGATAATTCTGTTTATTTTCAGGCCAGAAAGAGGTGGAGGAGTTAGGCATGAGTGCATTCAGTAGTAATAAAGTGAGTCAACTGGTGGCCAGATATGCGGAGCAAAAGGGGGACACTCCGGACTGGATGAGACATACAAAGGCAGACAGCACTACTTCCGGGGCTAAAAGGACACATTCGGAAGACGATGTGAGTATGCGGTACTAAACCAGTCAAATATCGTAACATAATTTTGAGAGATTTGTGGGACTTCGGCTGGAGATTTCTTACTTGCTAAATTACAATGAGAAACAACTAAAACTGCTTTGAGCAACTAAAAACTTTCTACGAGGTCTTTCGTAAAATTACCTGAAAATAAAGTATAAGGATCAAGTAAACTTGTTTTCACTTTTGGTTGGTGGATGGAATTTTATAAGCTCTTGCTATTTTTGGATCTTTTTTTATATTGCAAAATTTTTGCAAGATCGTGCAAAGGAGGCCCTCTTGGAGATCCCATCTAAGTGAACTAGGGATGATAAGGACTGGTTTGTTCCTGCTCCGGATTTAAATTAAACCTCTGCTTCATGGTGAAAACTCATTTGAATAATTCTTTCACGACGTTATTGAATTAACTTTAATTGAACACAGAGGACCTTCAGTACTGCGGTTTTTTGTATTGAAACTGCTTTTCGCCATCAATCACAAAATCTGTTTATAATTTTATTATCTGTGCTGTGCTTTGTGGTGGTTTAGATAGTGGATCTGCAGCAGAAGATGCAGTTGAACAATAAAAGGAGACAGGAGGAGGAGAGAGTGAAGTGTGTGTGGACTTCCAGAATGAGACACTTCAGAGACTCGATCAAGGGTATATAGTACACAGAAAAATTCAAAATGCAGTTGCGTTTTATAGTAAATGTCAATAATTTGAAATCATTTTGTTCGGTCAACGAATCTGAACGAAGTGAATTAACCTATAGCTGCTCATTTCGACGTCAGATACCAGTTTAACACTGGTTTCTACAAGTGAAAATCCTGGCCAAAGAATAAATTAACCTAAAACGTTTTTATTTTTGACCAATTAAGATGCTCTTGATTACTGACATTGTCAACAACTAAGCATTAAACTTACAAAAACACTACCAAAAGTTTTTTTTCTTGAAACATAAAAACCAAACTAGTTCAAAATTTTCGAAAAACATAATGCGTTTTTGTTTGCTGATTTTTTCAATCATTTTCGAGTTTTTTTCGCAGCGTTGTGAGTTGAGCGAAGTTTAATGAGGTTGAATCATAATATCAAAAACCTACCAAGCATTACATTTTTTTCTGTGATATGTGCCAATTTTAGAACTGTTGGCTGCGAAGTTTCTCCCTGATGCAATTGTTGCAGTTTGCCCTGAAGATACAGACTGCAAAACTCTGGAAAAGTATCTCAAAATTGAAATTAAATCCTGTGCCAATATCGTCAACGGGCTACCTAGTAATTGGCCCAATCTAGAGAGAGTTTTCATAGTCCCGTTTTCCAGGAAAAAGGTGACTGAGTTTCAAGTTGGAATGAATAATTTAGTGTTTAATGTTTAGTTTTCGAAACTACTTTTGTTATTCGTTTTAAAATTACAGTTTAGGATTTTAATCTGAGTATTTTAATAATTGATTTATGTTTTTTATATCTGAAAAACCAAGTTGAATAAAAATCTGAACCCCCATTTAATGCTAGTTGAATTAAAATGTCTTTGATTGCGTTTTCGCTACAGATGTAAAGCTTTTTTGCAACAGATAGCAGAATTTTTTCTTCATTCGGAGACTTGATCTATTTTGGTTCATCTTGAGACATTTCAAGACAAACAAGATATTGGTTCTACAGGAGATCTTTTTTTCATAGAACTTTCTAGCTTTCCTGAACGAAGGTAGTTACTTGGTCGAATTTGTGGTTATGGCGATCAATTGAAGGACAGCATCAATGCAGTTAAAATTAAGATTAAATCGGTTGCAAAAACACTGATAAGTAATTTATACTGTCTTCGTACTAGATATCGTTTAGCTTCAAATAAAATTGAAAGAATAACTTATTTTTTCATAAAAAGCTGCATGAAATTATATAACCATTAAATGAACTTTTACTAAGCTAGCATTGCTGCTTGATTGCTTAGTAATATTTCCTAAGCTATAAGTCTCACCTTAGATCGTTTCTTGACAAAAGTTATAATAGAAAAAATAGTTAGAAAAAGTATGAACTAATTAACTGGGTAAATACAAAGCACATGGTTGTTAGATTAAAAGAATGAATCGAACAGCTTAAAGAAATTTACTTATGAGGGGTGGATTAATTATTCTTATTTGTTCATCAATATTTTATCCTCTTACTAAGTCGACGATTGTGTAGTACTCTCGAGTCACTCTTGGGTGAGTCCACTTCTGTTGGGTAGTCAGCAGTAATCTGGTCCGTTTCGTCCTTGTGATCCAGGTTTCCTCGATTGTACTTATCTCGATTAATAGTTTTTCGAATTATGAGAATTATTATTTCAAGTTAAAGTTAAAAAGGACGTGTTAGTAATCGTCGCCCTTTTATTATTTTGAGCATGAAAAAATGAGAAAAATTGGAACAGTATTCAAAAAGAAGTGGATTTTCAAAACTAGATTTTATAGTTCTAATAAGAATAAATCAGTCAATATCTGATTTAGTAAAAAGAGGCCTTTATATAAATGGCACGCTATAACTTTGAATACAATTAACAATTAACAATTTAGACAATGGCCTTTTGTCCTTGTTGTATTTCCAATATTACAACTCACTTTTTTTTTAGAAAATTAAGCTGTTCGATTCTTACAGTTACCATGGTGAAAATTAAACATTTTAAGGATTTAGTTAGAACATTAAAAAGAACATCAAATAAATTGATTATGCATACAAGTTTAAATTAATGGACGCAAATTAAATGTTTTTTTTTGAAAAATTTCTAGAGTTTCTTTCCAGCTTCTAGCTCAACGTTGTAAGCTCTGAGGATCGCTTTCTTCCTCAATGAAGCCTCTAGTTTCTACCGTATTTTGACGATCTTCTTTTTATCCGTTTTATTCTTAGTTGTCAGTCTGTTTATCCCATCTGTAATTTCTTTGAATTCGTCTCTCTCGTTTTGATTTGGTTTTAGTTGATTTGGGGAAGGAGTTTTTCCCTCATATGGGATGGTTAGCTGAGGTGCCCCTGCTTTCAAATTATAACCTTGTTCTACGCTTTTCTTGGTTTTCCAGAAATTGGTTTCTTCCTTTATCACAACTTCTGGCTGAGTTAGGCAACGATGCAAATTCAATCGGCATCATTGCCTTTTCCATTGTCGTCAAGTTGACGACTTCTATAAAGGTTGGCACTTTTCAACGGCTGTAGCTCTGTTTTATTGAATAATTTGAACTGGTTATAAATTGGGGGTTCACCGTTTCCAATTTTACTTCTGTCCTTTTGTATTACCAACCTTTGCTTCAGCCTGGGGAAGTTTCTGGGGTCTTTGTTAAACCCGTCGTCAAATGACATACTAGATTTTACTAACGATTTCAATTGCCTCTTCTTTTCAGGAGGCAAATTGCTTTTGAACTGCTCGGGTGCAGGGTCGGCATTTCTGCAGTTCCAATTCATGATTGGATCATATTCCATTTTGCTAAACATCAGTATAAAATGAGTAAAATAGTCAAAATCACTTTTCCATTGTCGTCAAGTTGACGACTTCTATGAAGGATGGCACTTTTCAACGGCTTCAGCTCTGTTTTATTGAATAATTTGAACTGGTTATAATTTGGGGGTTCACCGTTTCCAATTTTACTTCTGTCCTTTTGTATTACCAATCTTTGCTTCAGCCTGGGGAAGTTTCTGGGGTCTTTGTTAAACCCGTCGTCAAATGACATACTAGATTTTACTAACGATTTCAATTGCCTCTTCTTTTCAAGAGGCAAATTGCTTTTGAACTGCTCGGGTGCAGGGTCGGCATTTCTGCAGTTCCAATTCATGATTGGATCATATTCCATTTTGCTAAACATCAGTATAAAATGAGTAAAATAGTCAAAATCACTTTTCCATTGTCGTCAAGTTGACGACTTCTATGAAGGATGGCACTTTTCAACGGCTTCAGCTCTGTTTTATTGAATAATTTGAACTGGTTATAAATTGGGGGTTCACCGTTTCCAATTTTACTTCTGTCCTTTTGTATTACCAATCTTTGCTTCAGCCTGGGGAAGTTTCTGGGGTCTTTGTTAAACCCGTCGTCAAATGACATACTAGATTTTACTAACGATTTCAATTGCCTCTTCTTTTCAAGAGGCAAATTGCTTTTGAACTGCTCGGGTGCAGGGTCGGCATTTCTGCAGTTCCAATTCATGATTGGAGCATATTCCATTTTGCTAAACATCAGTATGAAATGAGTAAAATAGTCAAAATCACGATTTACATTGGGATACTAAGGTTTATTATGAAAATTGAATGACAAGGACATTTATAAAAGTAGAAAAGTTTATATATAAAATTTTACAGGGGTCCACAGTCAAACAGTCACCTCCTAGCGGTGGATCCCGGGCAACGTGTACCTCCCTGACAACCAGAAATGTCTGTACACGGCTAGCGATTGAAGTGCAAAACGCCTACTCGGTGGTTACAAGGACAACCAGAAATGTCTGTACACGGCTAGCGATTGAAGTGCAAAACGCCTACTCGGTGGTTAACAGAGGTTGGGTAATACGGTCCAGTAAGCCATACCTGTAGAAAAACTTTTTTAAAATCAGTCAATTATCTTTTTGGTTCATTTTTTCAACACTTTGTTTCGCTTAGGTCCACGTTTTACCTTACTAGCAGAGTCTGCACATTGCTAGCCAATTTCTCTTCATTGTAGAACATCCGTAATTATTTCTCTAGGTTAAGAAATCATGGTCTGAGCCAAGACTCCTCCACTTGGTCCTTGTGCCTCGGAATAACACACTGGAAGCACGGAGCACGGCAAAAGACAGCCGGCACTTCACCCAGTTCATTGTTTTACTATAGTGTTTCTCCCACTTGGTAGATAATGCTTCTCCTATTCTCCGAAGGAAACTTGCAAATTCTGGAGCAGACACGACAAGAAGAGTGAAAGAAAGATGTCTTTCCTGACACGCGTCTGAATATTTTGTCTTTTTCTCAACCTCTTCTGAGTGCAAAACACTCATGGGGCTTCTGTTCTGATAGGAGATGGCGTCGGTGTCAGGAACACGAATATCAAAAGACGCTCCTCCCTGTCTAACTTAAGCACCACGACAAAACAAATCTGCAATTAAATCGGATGTCTCATCTTGCGGGTTGTATTCTCTAATAGCAGGCTCTCTCTGTACATCCTTCCACACTAAAGAAGCTATGTCGCCTACAGCATCCCTCATCTCATTGTGCCGTAAAGTTAAGAGACCACCTTTTTTGAACGCTAACCCATGCTGTAGGGTGAATGGTGACAGGACACCATCACAAAAAGTTGGCGAAGCGTTCAAGTTTTTGTTATACCGGATACTCAATGCATCCCGAAACTCCACTTCCAAAAGATCAAAGTTTTCTGCAGCAACCGGTAACGCTGTCAGCCAGGCAGACAAGCTTCCTTCATGGATTCTTTTTACTGCGCGAACTTGGTCTGCTGGTAGCTCATTCAATAACTCCCCCAACAACTCTTCATGTTTTTCTTCCAAAATTCGATGATGTTTTTTCCGTGATCGAGACATTTCCTTTCTGTGATCTTCGTGGGAAAAACCGTGCTGATCAGCAATAGCATCATAAAGAACCGTAACTGCTTCCCATGACGTGTTGTAAGACTCATCAGCGAAACTGATTGGGTTAGACACTCCAAGACCACCCTTTCTTGCTGGCAAACAAAAGACACGTCTCTCCATTGATGAAATCGACAAAATTCCAAGTATCGCAGGCAAGAATTTTTCCATCAGAAGGTTCTCTAGTGGTTGAAAAGGTTGACTAGAACCACCCAAAACACGATGGGAAAAATTCCATTCAGCTTGTAGGGACTTAGCCAGTCCTGATAAAGCACATTGTGGTTCTATTTTTGCCACAAAAGAAAAATTCTCAATTTTGTCCACCCATTCAAGTTCTTTCTTTTCCAGTTAGATGTCCTTCTCATTTCCGTCTCCAATGAAACCGCTAAAAAACCTCTTCCCTTCCCGTAAAGTAATAGAGTACTTGTCAAATATGTGATGCGCTTCTTCAGCATATTGTTTATCGACAAACAGAAAACTTTTGGAAGGCTCTGGAAAGTAACCGAAGGCGGGACCTTCCTCAATCAAGTTTTTGAGCCATATCTCCAATTTTTTGAGATTTGCTATGGCCGCAGAATCATCAGCATACCAGCTTTGTAACATATTGTTCGGATCTTTTAACTTCCGAATCAGGGGAAGAAGTGAAACACCATAGAAGAACATTGCCAGTGGGTCTCTCTGTGTGGTTCCTTCCCTACTGTATATCACTTCATCGGCGCCAGCAACGAAAAGCGACGCGAAGCCTCTGTAAGTATTGAAGAGAAATCTAGAACATCTAGCCCACAATATTTGAGCATTCCACAACAACATACATTCCAAAACTACATACATTCAAACCAATGAGAGAAACCATTCGGAAACAGGAGCGACCGGCCCGAAACAATGTTTTAGTTAGACAGCAACTGTGGAAATTCAGACATTGGAATTGTAGAACCCTTAGGGGGTTGGAAGG